GGTCTATGCACATCAAATTTACCAAAACACTAAGAACGTTTTCCTTTCTGTATATTTTAAACAAGTAAAGTATAGGTCTGTTTAAGGTTCTTAGTATTGTATCTCCAAGTTTACTGAAACAAAGTCTAATTTTTCTTTTTTGTCTTTATATGTCAATTATATCACAACTGCTCTTTCTTCAAGTTACTTTTCTCTGTTTACTTATTCTTTTATTAAAACAATTTCTTCATTACAATTCATTTTAATTTCTCTGTACATCTTTTACATTTAAAGAGTTGAACGTTATTAGTTTGGCTTTTCTATTTAAAATCTCTTGACCGCAAAAATAGCACGTCTTTTTTTTTCCTTTTCTGTGTTGTTATAGGTAGCTTATGTCACAACTGTTGTTTTTCCACTTTACTTTTTCCTTTTCTGTGTTGTTATAGGTAGCTTATTTCACAACTGTTGTTTTTCCACTTTCCTTTTCTGTGTTGTTATAGGTAGCTTATGTCACAACCGTTGTTTTTCCACTTTACTTTTATGTCTTTAGTGATTCTAGTATAAAAAGGTTTTGTTGATAACAACCGAGTTTAATCTCTCTCCACAGTTTCAGTTTTGCGTTAAGTCTTGAAGATGTTACCTCCACGCTGTTAGCTAGAAATACTTTGGTGGAGTCAAAATAGGGATTTGTAGTTTGAGTAAATAATCCTTATTTGCAGGTTTTTAAATTCCAATTTTTTTTCTTGTTTTCTGGCTTTTTTAATGCTCAACTATGGGCAAAGGATTAGTTGATATGGTAGCTAACTTTATACACTGTAATGATAACAAACATAGTTAGTAGCTAGCTGATACAATTCATGATGATTTACTGTACCTATTGACTATTTGATCGCATTAGTCCAATATGTAAAATGTTATGCTGCTGCTGGAGATTGTTATGGAGGTTTGTTTGAAAATATAGTGAGCACTTATAGTTTCTGCTTAACTAAATTTTCTGTATATAATGCATAGCAATGAGCAAATATATGCCTATACTAAGACCCACCCCCCACTAGGCGCGTACAAAATTTTACCAGTAGAAAAGCAGCCTTTCAGATAAAACATATACGTGTAAAACATCGGTTTAAATAAACTTTTTGTGTCTTCTAAAGTAATTATTCTACGGATGTGTGTAATAAAATTTAATATGTATATATTTTTTTTCAAAAAAAAAATCTTTCACTTCCTACATAATATAGGAGTTGGCTCCCTAAAGACACCGATTGTATTGTAACAAAGCATTGCGTATCTACTTGTTACTGTCATCCAATGTTCATCTTTCATTGGCTGGTAATTCCTGTGTCATCCTTTTCTTAAGCTTTTTAAAGGAATATCAGATATTTGTAAGAAAGCTAACTTCAAGGGGTAATGATAACATCGTTTAAACAAGAATTGTTTTTAGCTTATGTAGAATATAGAAGAAACAAATAAACTTTTCAATACCCCAACGACCTTTGCAGTACCTTTAGTATTTTACAAAAGGTTTGGGTGTATTATACCAAGCTGTTTTTGTTGTAGGTTGGCAAGAGAATAATAATAATAATTACAAACGAGCCGTTTTGAGTGGATTTTCTTTTCCTTCTAAATCTAACATGTTTGCCTTTTTATATCTGCACAGCCTGACAATCAATAGTAAAGGTTTTAAAGTGTTGTTTAAACTGAATATTTACTGTTTAAGGTGCTTTTTGCCCGAACGTTTTGTGTAATTCCTATTATGAACCATTATCGTGGTTCACGATATACAGTCTTTAATAAGTTGCCTATAATGCATTACATTTCAATGTCTTAGCTGCTTTGTTTCACAAAAATTTTATTATAATTACGTGAAGTACTTATTTATGTCTGCTTAACCATGCCATATGCCAATTCTATAACGTCCATTCATGGATCTTTGAAGAAGAATACATCAGTTTTCAGTTGTATTTCACAATCCTACATAAGTATTTCGCATATTTTTTATTTAGTATCCCCAGTTTACATTAAAGAAAGTTTCTGTGCTTGTATAAATCTGAAACAAGTCGAATATAATAGTTCTTACTGCTCATCTTTCACGTCACTACTGTCTTTCGTACTAAACAACTTCGTTGAATAGAATTGAACTGAATCTCTCTGTTCAGTCATGTTTTACGTTTTAGTAGACTCCGAGAGGTGTTTCCTTCGATTTTTATGTATATTTAGTATCTCCAGTTTACGGAAACAGCAGACACCATGTTTCCCTTTTTTGTATTTATAAGTCGATTATGACAGTACGGCATGTGTTTCATGTTACTTTGTTGTCTCTACTGTTTATTATACAAAAACATTAATTAGAACCGAGTTTAGTCTTTCCGTGCAATCTCAGTTTTACGTGTTAAGACTAATAGCGGTTTATTTTACTTTTTTAGTTTAATACATCTCCAGTTTATGACAACAACAGGTAGACTCTTGGAAGTATTTTCTTTGCCTTTTTAGCTGTTTGCTATCCCAGGTTTACGAAAATATCAGAAGTATATTTTCCTTCTAAGTCGAGTATAACAATAGTGGTTGTGTTTCACGTTATTTTACTGTCTCGACTGTTTTTAATGTAAAATAACCTTACTGATTTAATATTTCTGTACAGTCTCATCTGTGTAGTATCTCCACTTTAGGAAAACAGCAGATACTTTATTTTACTTTTGTGTTAATTATAACACAACTGTGTTTTACGGTTTTTTGCTGTCTCTTTACTATTTCTAGTTTAAAAGAACTATTTCTGATTCCAATTTAACCTCCCTATATAGTATGGTTTTTATATTCTAAGAATTCCTTTATTCTGTTTAGTATCCTCAGATTACGAAAACCGCATGTATTTTGATTTTTGGTGTCCTAAGTGAATTATAACATTACTTTCCCATTTCGCACTTTTTTTTACTGTTTCTATAATAAACCAACTTTGGTGATTACAATTGGACTTAAATATCTCTGTTCAGTATTATTTTTACGTTTTAAGAGTTCTGCGTTTTCTGTCAGTTTAATAAAGCATCACGTAATTTTCCTTTAATTTATTTATAAGTCCATTATGACACTCCTTGTATCTTTACTGTGTCTAGTATAAAAAAGGGCCCGGCATGGCCAGGTGGTTAGGGCGTTTGACTCGCAATCTTAGGGTCGCGGATTCGAATTTCCGTCACACCAAACATGCTCGCCCTTTCAGCCGTGGGGGCGTTATAATGTGACGGTCAATCCCACTATTCGTTGGTAAAAGAGTAGCCCAAGAGTTGACGGTGGGTGGTAATGACTAGCTGCTTTCCCTCTGTCTTACACTGCTAAATTAGGGACGGCTAGCGCAGATAGCCCTGGTGTAGCTTTGCGCGAAATTAAAAACAAACAAACAAACAGTATAAAAAATTTGATTACAAGATAATTTCTTTGCAGCAATATTTTCACGTTTTATGACACTTGACCTTTTTTTTTCTTCTTACTATGCATACCTTACGTAAATTACAGTTTTTTCTTTCTGCAAGTGAAAATATTAGGCGTTTGACATAATTTTAATGAAAGCATTGGAGTGAAGGGTTACTTGAAAGTTAATTTCTAGTCCATTATGATATTTCACCCACTGCAACAAATATAAAAATAACATCTTCTGTTATTTTTCTTTCTTATAACTTGAAATCAACTCTTAAGAAGTAAATAAAATCACTTAGAAAAAAAAATTACTAAATTTCATTTGCTCCAGTAAGGGGGGTTAATGAAATATGTCATTTTGGAGTCTAGGACAACTGCCGGTAAGGGAAATGCCGGCGGGCAACAGCCAGTCAAAAACTCTGAGTAATCCAAATTCACAAAAGAAAACCTGATACATGTCCTTTAATGGAGGGTTGTCTAGATTTTAAACCCAAAATACCTTTCACAAGTTTTATTTCTATTTAGTAATCAAATTGCTAATAGCCAACGTTATATAACCTGTGAAAGTAAAACTTAAAAAGTCAGTATCTTAAATATTGATTAAAATGTTAATAGTTAATGATATTATCGTAATAACACCATAGATTATGTGTTACATCATAATTGAAAGGTCAACATCTTCGTGTATTAGAACAATTGTTTAATCTCTACAATGGTAGACTTTGAGGTGGCTGAAAGAAATGCCATGCTGAGAGTTTTCCCAGGGATTAATATAACTGAATACTTCTTTCATAATGCACAATGTATTTATTGTAAAGTTCAGATAACAGGATTTTAAGATCGGAATTAGAATGATTCCTGCTCTTGCATTTGTACCGATGGACTATGTTGAAGAAGCTTTTGAAAGACTGACAGAATACTTGAGACAAAAAGCCATTGAGGTACTAGAATACTTTGAAGGGTCATATATTGGCAGGCCTGGTCCATGAAACCGCAGGGGACGAGTCTTTGGTCTTGAAACATGCATTATGTACGATTGCACCATTGATCAGTTACCTATAAATGGTGCTAAAGTATCAAATTTTACTATAAAATACGAATATTGGTTTTGTATTGCAATTGTGGTTCAATGTTTTGGCTAACTTAGATTAAAATTTTTAAAATATATACGTACATTTTATAACTCATTTGTAATAGTTTTTTATTAGCTTTGATCAAAGCTGGTTTGGTGTACATGACCTGTCTACCAAGCTGTTAACTATAAACAAAGTTAACTATAAAAAGGTGGCGGTTGTCTTACTGGCAATTGTCCACTACCGTAGGTCCTGCTCCCCCCCCCCCCTCCACTTTGAAAAGAAAATCCCAAGTTTATATATGTTAAAGATTTCTTTTCTTTTCATCAGAAGTGAAATTGAAAAGAGAATATGTGAAGTAGAGGCCAAGGAAATGTCATAACATTATTCGCGTACTTTAATCAATTGAGGTTACTATGTGGTGAAGTAAAATAGAATCAAAACACCAAAGATAAAATCCCAAGTGTTTCTGTTAATTACCTCTTTTTTGATAATGAAAATATAAAAGTATGTTGAGGATGCAATAAAAAACAACAACAAAAATTATATTGAAAATCTTTATTGATAAAAAAAATGGACAAAGATAGTGCTAGTTAAAACTTCTGATGCAACCATAACATCCACAGTCTTCATGTTCTTTTTTTCTGTGATCCAGAAGAGCTACGATGGGTATTTCAAGTTAAGGATTCTATCATAACACAAATAAACACCTATAATACATAATATTCCTAATCAGACAGACAAGCTTGGATGCATTTTTAAAAGTAGCAGTATGTTATAAATTCTTAAATCACAATTAGTTATACTTGTCATAAGACTTTAGTACTAAATATATATTTTTAACACTGCATTCTTAAAAATACAATAGGCCTAATATTAAAGTCTCATGAGAAGTATAATTGATTATGAACATGCTTTGCCAGCTTAGAAAAGGTGTTCGCATCATAACTTCTAATTTCTTAAATTATTCAGTTATGAATATTTTATTGACGAAGCATATTTACTATGCAAATTTCTTTTTATCTTAACATTATTCTACTACATCATTTATGTATTTTTCCAAAGTTAATTCTTCTGAAACTGTTAAGATGAGTGGTTAAACTGTGTGATAAAGCAATTCTTCAAAGTAAAACCTGGAAAATTAACATTTAACACAAATCTAAAGTAACGGTAAAAGTAAATATCTGCAATATTACTAGCTAATATGTTCCCAGTAGTTATAGGATGAAGAGGTTACAGTAAGATCTGTGTTAATGTGATGGAAATGCCTCTTAACTGTTGTTGTTTGAATCTTTAACATTTCATGTAATGTATTAGTGACACATATTTGTTAAGGGGTTAAAGTTATAGGAGGAAAATGTTGCATTTATAATTCTAGGTTAAACTGGGAATTATCCGTTTGGTGTTATTTTTGTTAAAACTGGGAAAGGATTTTTGAGTTCTTCAGATAAATTAAAAAGGAAAAATAATTTGAAGAACTAAATTTATAGGTAGGTAGAAAAAACTTAAACCTTTTGATGAAGGGCTTTTTGCATTGTTCACTTAAGATCACTGAAATGAAAAATGACTATCAGGATGTATATCACTAGATTTTCTCACTGAAATTAGTTTGCTAAGCTTGAAAATCTAGTGATTTTAAGTGTGGCAATAGTTTTCAAATTGAGATTTTCAATCGGAATATTGAGATGATTATATTCAATCCATGATATATTTAAATGTTTAAGACTGGCTTTAACCAATCATATCCATACCACTGTGATGAATCAGTTGCAAGTATTCTGACATGTTGGTATGGTTATGATAAGTTAAATTTGTTTTCTACTATTGAAAAGCTTGATCTCAAACTTAGGAAAGTCTCTATTGATATACAGATTTTATCAGCATGTAAACAACACAAAATTCTCAACTCCAGAACCATCGATTACGAACTCTTTATTAAAAAAAGCCTCTGCATTTTCAATGATCATTCAACACCAAATAATAACATCAACTCCTCCCTGTTGTCATAAATGTAATCTTTTCTGGATTTTCAGTGTTATATTTGCTATTTATTATTATTTTAAAGATACAATGTTTATACTTATATTTAAGCCTTTCTCTGTAATAGTTTCTCTTAACAATGTTATTTATTAAACGTGTATTCCACACATTTTATCGTACCTTCTATTATATTGTTACCATTAAATCTGTTCTTTCTAAACTTCCGATTGAATAAGAAAACTCGCTTTATGCTAATGTTGTTTTTTTGTAGTTTAAGTATTATGAACTAATTTCTTTTTACATATTAATGCTGATGATGGAATTTAAGGAAATTCTGAAACATTCGTATTAAAAATGTTTTTTGGTATTACTGTTTTTAATATTTATAATAACACAAAATTATTCTAAAATTCCTAAACTTCAAGACCACAAACCAAAATATCCAAGTCTCTTCTACTTATCATTATTATTGTCAGAGAAACCTATTGGTAAAAGAATTAAAAACAATATATTTTTGCAAAAACAGCTAACAACTGAACATACTACAGCCAGTCTTGAACTTAAGAAGAACATTTCATTGAATGAATATCGTCATCTCATCAACCTGAATGAAAATCTCAATATGAAAGCCAATGCTACACTTGGACATAAGCAAAAGTGACAAGATCAACAAATTAACTTCAGTGAAAAAATCTAGTAACAAATTTTGATAAGGTCATTTTTACTTTAAGTGATCTTAGCTTCAGTGAAAAATGTTTTAGTCTACGAACTCATAAATGTAATTTCTCAAGTTACTTTTTTCCTTTTGAATGTACCTACAAAACTCTTAAATCCTTTCCTAGTTTTAACAAAAATAATCCCTAGCTTAAACTTACTCTTAAAAGCTCCAATAAACTTTGAGATATTTAAAAAATTGAAAATCAACTCTGTCACCACTTTCACAGAATTATATCTTACAGGATACTGCCCCTGCCTCATGTATGGCTTAGCAAAAATGCACAAAAGGAGTTTATTCATCAACCTATTCTAACTACTCTCAGTTTCCATGCCTATAAACTTCCTAAATATCTTGTACCTGTACTAAGCTCTCTTAACTGAGAATGAATATACTGTTAAATGACTCATTTTCCTTTGCTCAAGATGTCCAAATTTACTTATGCAAACCACTTTGTTTTGACTAGCTTTGATGTTGTCCGTATTCACTAATATCTCGCTTGAGGAAACAATCCAAACAATTAGTAAACAGTTATTCCCAACTAAAAATGCCCTTACTCTAACTTTAAGCAAAAAAAATTCAAGCACCTTTTAAAGTTGCCCCTAAAGAACAATCATTTCATATTATATGGCCAACTTTATGATCAGATGGACAGGATGGAGATGGTATCACTTCTATGTTAGACTCTTGTAAATACTTTTCTCTGTTATCATGAACAGCAGTGTCTGGATAAATGCCCTTCTATTACCAACCACTATTGTATAGAATATGCATTGATGATAATTTTCTATTTTTTCACAACACTGATAATGCCAAAGTTTCTAAAATACTTAAACATGCAACATCTATGTATAAACCTTAAATGTGGTAAGGAAGACAGTAAGTTAGCTTATATAGACATCAAAGTAAACAAAATAACCAATCCCTTTACCATATCTATTTACTGGCATATACACTCATCTTGACAGTTTCATACCATATTATTTAAAATGCAGCCTTGTTCTGAATCTCCTAAACAGAGCATATAATAACCATTCTACTTCAAGCTTCACTCTGAAGTTTTCAAATTTCATAAAATATGAGAAAGTAATGCCTATTCTATTAATTTCTTAAACTTTCTCACACAAATATTTTTAACAAATAAAACATAACCTACCAAGAACCTATACAGTTGAATCAAAATAACCACTAGTTCTTATCACTCCTTTAAATTCAAATCATGAATTCTAAAAATAACCAAGACATATTACCCACAGATTAAGCTACATTTAGTATATACATTAACATGTAGAATTGAAAATTTGTTTAAAACCAAAAACACTATCCATTCATATGTGCTTATGTGTGGTTCATAAATACACTTATGGTAACTGTAAAACAAGTCACTTAAAATAAATCTATTCTAATCAGCAAATCATTAGATTATAATGATGAATACATAAATGGTAAACTAATATTGGGATAAATCCATTCTTTACAAAGCTGACAACAATTTAAATAAGACAACTGAAGTAAAAAAAAAAATTACCCATGAAACTGAAAAACTCATAGATGGTAATATTAACATTGAGAGAATAAGTTTCTATTTCAAGACACTAGAAAGATGAGAATGTACATACGGAATCTTGAAAGGAACCCACAAAGTGAACGAAACAAAGCCTATCATATAACACCCCAGACATTTTTTTTAAAATCTGGAACAGACAGAACACCAGGAAAGAAATCCTCTGTCCATTTTACAGACCTACAGTAGAAACTTGTCTGGGTCAGGTGTAATTCAGAAATTGTAATTTAAGTTCTCAAAATTACAAAGCAGAATTTTTGAAAAAATATACTCCAGCTACAAACAAAGAAGAAACTTCAAATGAATATATTCTTGAAGAAAATACAAGTAGAAAGAAAGAGAACTTTTATAAAACAGTGAAAAATGACAATACTAAAAGTGAAAGAGTGTGCTGAGAGCAGTTTTAGTTATTTAATATGTATATCTCTATACACAGGTGGAGCTATGAAACAGTATATAAAAAGAAGTCACATGATCACTACAATAAACACAAAAACAGAAAGTTGAGAAAAAATATCAGTTCGATGGCATAAATATGGAAAAATACTCAAAAGACATTTTAGAGAGCAAGCTGATATTTACAGTAAGTGATAAAAAAAAGGATATTGTTTCCTTTCTTCTCGTTCAGATTTTCGATCCTTTGTTTTTTCATTTGTCGGTTGTGAATTATCATTCTGGAAATTTAATAAGCTGTTAGTAATTAATAGTAATTCATCTGCTATAATCATACTGAAAAGTAATAAGGTCTTCAAATATTACACTACTGTCATCATCTGAATAAACAAAATATCAAGTAATAAGATATCTTGTATATTTTCAACACACCACAAAATGATATAAAAGAGTTGATTACAACTGGTTTCAGCTTAAAATATAAAAGGAAAAGTACAAGACTCAAAAATATTTGACTGGCTTAATATACAAGATATATATAAGAATAATATACAATGACCTATATATTAGATGTATTATCAGATGATGATGTTAAATGATCTCTGTTTAAGCATTATATGAGCTGTTTATTTTGTACATATAATTAAGTCCTTCTTGCACACACAGAAAAAACAATTTTTTTCATAAAAATATTTTTTCTAAGGACTTGTTTCAGAATTCCTAAATCCTTTACTGAGACAGTCCAAGACAAGGGTGATTTTCACGCTATGTATAAAATATTTCTCTTCATCTAAAATTTTTTATTTCTCAGTTGCATAACCTCTTAAATGAATATCAAGTGTTTTTGGTAGAACTTTATATTTTATCTCTTACTTTCACTATAATATTACCTGTGGCAAAATCATCAATGTACAGTGAAATTAAAAGTTGGAAAACATGAAATACTATGTTTTCCTCTGCACTATCTACAGTACTGATTAGGAAGTTCTAAATTACTTGTCTTAACAAGTGTCTTTTTTGCATGTTTTCTTTTAATTTTATGGTTTTATTAAACTAAGTTAAACAGCAAGTTAGTGTTATATATTTCACACAAGTTAGTGTATCTTCAGACATTTTATTGTATTACTAGGCTAAGCTCAAAAGTTTATTATTTTTACATTTTGTTACTTTTGTTAGAAAAAACAATAAGTAAAAAATATACATAAAAAATCAAGGATTTCTAGTGTTCAAAGTGTATTTGATCTGCTTGCACTTGAATAAAACTGTTTGACTTTCTCCCATATTGCCTTACAAGTTTGGGTGTCAAAAAAAAAATAAAAAAATAAATGCAATTTCACATATGCATTTTAGAATACAAAAATTACATCAAGCATTACAAAAGAATGCCCCAAAACAATTATAACTGATCTAGCTTTCTGAGTAAGCTATAAATAGTGTTAGGACAGCGGAAGTCACGTGACGCTAGTAACACGTCATGATATTCTAGAAGGATTATGTCTGTTCGTGGCAACTCTGGTCTTTTTCTACGCACCCTCTATTCTTGTATATAAGTGTACCAGATAAAGCAAAATTAATTAATCAGAGAATAGAATTGCAGATGGACAATTGAGTCAAGTGTGGTAGTGACCATAAGTAAAGTGCGTGAATCTTTGTGAATTATAGCGTGTGTTTAAGTTAAAGAGACTGTGGAAATTAAGTGTATTGCAAAGTTGAGTTGAGAAAAAATAAAATAATTCGATGACGAGGAACCCACTTTGAGACTAATAATGGCTGGAGACGGCTTAAAAATAAACTAGTTTTATTTAAGAAAGAACTTGTATCGCTGAAGTTTCTCAGAAAGAATTTCTACAGAAAATTAACAAACGACCAGAGACGTAACAAACTGGTGTCAGAGAGTGGGATGGAAAAAAAAAAAAAATGAAAACGAGAAGTGGCAAATCAAACTACGACTTAGCAGATTTGATGGCAGCAATACAAGAACAGCAAAAGAAACAAGAAAATAAACAAGAAAAGTAACTATAGCAGTGGTTGGAGGAAAAAGAAAAGAAATAAGAAGAACGGGAAAAGAAACAAGAACAACGAGAAAAGAAACAAGAAGAGAAATTACAGCAGTTGTTGGAGGAAAAAGAAAAGAAACAAGAAGAGAGATTACAGCAGTGGTAACTGGAACAAGAAAGGAAACTGGAAGAAAGTCTCCAACAGTTGCACGAAAGTCAGCGGCAACTACAGGAAAGTCAAAAACAGTGGCAAGAAGTACAAATGGAAAACATTAGCAAATTTCAAAGTGAATTAAATATATCAAAGGGTGATTTACTATCTTTTACACAAGGAGGATATAATAGCCATCGACCTAATCAGCCTCAGCAATGGGAAGCCCCTTCCAGAAACTGCAGCTAAACCCTAATGCAGACATCTTCAGACCTGTTAGAAGTCACATCCCAGATATGAATGTCAGCAAGAGGGGTTATCTAGTATGAAGGAACCCACAGGAATTCGATAGGAAGGCACCGTGGGAAGCATATAGAGCACAAATTGAGCTACTGGCA